CTGCCAGGTGATATGCCCAACACTCGAGTCCTTTCCTGGGGTTATAGTCTGACCACTGCGGGAAACTTAAACGAGAAAATATCCCAGCAACAAGTATCCGAGCAACTGGTTTTTGACTTGTGGGAAATGAGATCATCAACAAGTGTACAATCTCAACTGGCCCAACGGGAAAATAAGAATTAGTACTGACAGAGACAACACAGACAATCAATCGTCCGATTATATTTATCGCACATAGTCTTGGAGGACCCATATTGAAAAGTGTAAGTACCACTATTTTACCCAAATACATAAAGAGAGTTGTCATTGATCATCGCCAGGCCCTGCTTTATGCCGATTCGGCACAACAAACTTTTACTACGGACCTTCGCAGCATCAGACTCTCGACTCGCGGAGCGATCTTCATGGGGACACCTGAGCTAGATTCAAGGCTCATTGGACTGCAAAACTACTTAGCTAATGCTAAAGGATCTGAACAGGAGTCTAGCGATATTTATAAGGAAGCACACTGGTTAGTGACTATATTACAGGGTTATCCATCGATCAGTCAACAGTTCTGGACTTTATTTGTTCATGAGGGACTCGATTCTCTCCCAACAAACAGTACACTGGACCAGGTAAGAGAATTATCAACAGCCAGTTGTGGACTAGTTATTTGCTCACACCATGCTTGAACAAGACTGCGTCGTTCTCACCACAGGAGAATTCGTCACATATTTTCATTCAAGCTGATCATGGTGGAATGATCAAGTTTGAATCATCGTTGGACAAGGGGTATTTGAAAATTAAAGAGCATCTGGTTTATGTCGAGAAGATGCTGAAATAAAAACCGACACCTCAATTATCAGGCCACAATATAAATTTTGTTCCTGAAGTTCTGAAGGTCGATAGTTATATCATTCCTCTCTAGTGGATTTTTGATTGACACGAACGATCCACCGATGAATCATCGGTACCGGCTACATTTTGGGCACTCCAGATGTCCTTGATTTATTAGTTCCTCAATAATAGGGCTCTACGCCCGACTTCCTTTTGTCCCCTTTCGGCTTCACACAAGCCTAATCCGGTAAGGGGGTTCGATAGTGCCAGATGAACCTAATATTATACTAATATCGTGAAATGCATACTCCTAAGTTACACATTAGCCCAATGAACTGAAACAAGCTGCCTATGCTAAGACTTGTATTTCATCACCCGCCCACGGGCTAAGCGCCAAGCCTTCATCATAATGCGTAGCATAAGGGTTAATGCAGGATTTGATGCCGATCCAAGACAATAAGAGCAGGCTAGACGTCGGTCATCACATGGGAGAGGGTCTTTCTATTAAATACCCTTGAAATTGTTATTATTAAATAACTCTGTCAATAGCGCCGATCCTTCATTTTTTTCACGTCCTCCTTGGGACGGGAACGGTAAAATCTTATCCAGCTGTCTCCTCATTCTCTCCCCTTTTATTGCAAGGAATGTCCGATCATATCTATCCCCTTAGCTTTTCAACTGCTTCGTCCTCCCGATAATCTCATTTGCATTGTTCATGTTGGAATGACTGGAATCAAATCTTCTCAGCGGGATGTTCATCCGGAGGCATCCCCGCTTTCCTCTAACAGGGAGGGGTCTCCATCGCCTGTGAAGGCAGCTCCTGCACCCAAGGCCGGTAGAAAGCTGCCAGGATGGCTGGATCACTTCAACGCCCGTGATCTTAAGGTGTTGTTTCGATGCTCGCTAGCGGCGTGGGTTGCGTCGCTGTTGATCTTCATCACGCCGTCCCTAAGCGTCATTGGTACTGCGACTTTTTTTGCGACGTGAGCCCATCTATATATCTTCTCTCGGTATCAATTGCTAATTATATTGCAATTAGTTTGGTACTCTTCATGGTGCCTCCGACCGGCATTGTCTTCATTTTCCTTTTAGGAACTCTGACCCTCGTCCTGGGTATGGCTTTGGGCTGGGCCTGGGGTGTCATCGCCATGAAGGCGGCTATGGCAGCAAGACCAGCGGCTGAGACCCAGGCCAAACTTCAAGCCCTAGGACAGGCCGCATACAGCCAGGCTAATTCCACCGGACAGCCTGTGGCAGCTGTCCAACAGCAGCTTGTCTACACAGGCTGGATGCTTGACACTCGTGTAACAGCTGTCCATTATTGTTTAATCTGTTTGTTCATCTATTTACTTGTGAGTGTTTCTGATATGAGCATAATTCTCAAGTAAACTAATCCTTTTGCGCAGTCCCGTCTTCGGGCAAAGAACCCCAAATTCATTCTGATGCAAATTTTCGGAATCATCATCGTCGATGTTTCTCTGACTATTGGCCCGCTGCTTCCATCGTTCAGCGGTACTATCCCCAAGGTCTTGATTGAACCTGCCGCTATTGGAATTGGGTTGGGCCTAGTCTCCCATTTTTTCTTCTTCCCTCGGTCTACCTCCCATGTCGTGCTTGATGGCATGGAGGGGCTGGTTCGACTACTCAAAGGACCTCTGGATGCCACGGAGAACAGTCTTCTAAAAGGTGAAGACTTGGCTATGGCAGATCTGCAAACGATCAAGGTGAAGACCATTGCTGCTTACAAGGAACTCAAGCCGGCCATGGGCTTTTTGCCACTAGACTTCTCTGTCGGTTGGTGGGGTGCGGAAGATGTCAAAAGCATGAAGAAACCGATACGCCAAGCTTTGATAAGCAGTCTGTCGCTTCTGGAAGTTCATATCGCCCGCGTCGGGGGACACGCGAAGCTAGAAAAGCTGCACCGGCTCACTATGGATCGGGATTCAGACTCCGATTCCCAAGCTAGCGGGAATGAGAAGAAACGTTCACGCGAGGTTGGCATGCGCCAGCTGATGGAGAGTGTCAATTTGGTCCAAGCACTGCGAAGCCCGGAACATGAATCTATGCGATCGGAAACCGTCGAGGCATTGCGCGAGTCCAGCAAGGATATCCTACCGGCGTGCCAGGAAGCTGTTGAGATCATTGCGGAATCCATTAACTCGGTTAACAAGCGATGGTTTGGCCGTCCTTCCAAGGAACGTCTCAATCAATTGCACGAGCGCAGCCAGACTGCGCTGGAGAATCTTCAGGCCCTACGAGCATCGTTTGCAACGGAAACCACGGAACGTTTGATCCAAACACATGCGGAGATATTCGACGAAAAAGGCATGCTCAAGACCCTTGACGAACATTCATTACCCAGAGTTAGGGGTATCACCATGGGAATGATCTTCGAAGAGCAGGTGCTCGGCGTCGCCGACGGGTGGGAGCGAGTCCTGGGACAGCTTGTCGCTCTCCTGAAGGAACGCCAAAAAGTCCGTCTGTGGCTACCCAAGGGCTTGCGATATGCAGTCAACTGGATTCGTCGCAAAAATGTCGTGGCGCCTGTAACTGCAGCTCATAACCCAATCATCGACCCTGACGTCGCAGAGACGCAGTCCAAAGCGGCACAACAGCATCTTCGCATCAGTAGAGGGTATCGTGCCAAGCGAGGCAGCGGCTTCGGACGCGCTATCATCGGCGCCTATCATTGGTTCATAAATCCGGAAGGTCTTTATGCTCTGCGCATGGTGGTTGTCACGATCGCACTCGCTATCCCTGCTGCGATTCCTCACACTGCGGGTTTCTATTACCGCGAGAAAGGTCTCTGGGCCCTCATCATGGGACAGACCACACTTGTCATTTACATGGCCGACTTCACTTTCTCCCTTCTTTGTCGAGCCATTGGTACCATTGTTGGCGGTCTTCTTGGCTTAGTTGCGTGGTACATCGGCTCAGGCCACGGTGAAGGTAACCCATATGGCCTTGCTGCTATCATGGCTGTTGTGCTCACGATTCTCATGTGGGGACGTATCTTCGCCCCGCCTGCTATGCTTCAAGCTCTTATTATGGCTGGTGCGACCTGCGTTCTGGTTGTTGGTTACAGTTTTGAGGATACGTAAGAAAACTGCACCATATTGCGAGAAGCAACATTACTGACACACTTCCTAGGCACATCCCGGCTTACGGCAATCCTGGTTGGGGATATAATGTTTTCTGGCGACGACTTGTGCTTGTTCTTATCGGGTCTGCGGCGGCACTGATCGTGCAGCTGTTCCCTCGCCCACCGTCTGCATCAGGACATGTCTGCAAGTCCCTTTCAAATGTCATCCGCTTACTGTCGGACCACTACGCGCTTCTCTTATCCTGCTGGGGACAAGGACGCGAAGAAGGTCTAGCCGCAGAGAAGCTGGCTCTCAACCTCGCCGAGACCCTCGCCGCATTGGACGGACCCATCGCGTTGCTACGTTTCGAATTTTCCAGCTCGCCATTTGACAGCGACCGTCTCGGCCAGGTCAAATCGCTATGCCAAGAACTCAACCAGAACATCGCTCGCCTACTTTACCTATCTGCTTCACTACCAGAACACCTACAAAGTCGCCTAGCCCGTCAAGCGGGTCTCCTTGACCACCACAATATCGGCGACGTCATGGCTGTTCTGGGCGTGGTTGAACAATCACTCAAGACTGGTGACCCTCTACCCGAGGTGCTGCCAACGCCACTCCTGAACCGTTGCCATGATTACTGGATGTCGCGCAACGTGGATATTATGCTAAGCAAAGATTTAATTCGCGACGAAGACTACCGCCGGTTCTGCGTCGCCATCAGCGCATACCTCAAATTCCTAGCCACCGTGGATGACTTAGTGCTCGTGATGAAGGGCACATTGGGCGAGTCGCACATTGTCAGTCGCGACCTATTGAAGGAACCGTATGTATAAGAGTTTAAATGTAGTTATATTGTAATGATGTGTTCTACGATGTGTATATAGCGATGTGTCATAAAAACTGGATCTCCTCACATTCCTCCGCACGGCCGGTTTTCTCCAATTTTTTTTTCCTTCTCCAATTCCCCAAACCACTCTAGCGCCTCTAAATCCTTTGAATGTCATTCAATATTTTGTTTTCTTCTTTTTGATCTCCTGTATAAATCCAACAATAATTCTAATCTTCATATCCAACTGTGGCGCGGTGTCATCCTACATGGCCACTCCCCGCCTCGCCCGTCTTCCCCGGTGGATCAGCCACTGGCTTGGCTATCGTCCAGAAGCTGTGAAGCCACTCTCTAAATACGAAGTCGCTCTATGGTCCTTCATAACCTCATTCTGTGGTCTCTCGGTCGTACAAGCGATTTTCAATTACTCCGACTACTTCACCGAACGCAATGTACCGGGTATAATTGCATCCTACGTAAGTGTCAAATAGCCAAATCGTATTCCCCAAAACATCTACAGTTGACTCACACATCCAAAACAGGGTGCATCCGCCGTCCTCGTCTTCGGCGCAATCGAAAGTCCCCTCGCGCAACCACGCGCTCTAGTCTTCGGTCACTTCTTCAGCGCCTTGATCGGCGTCTGCGTTACCAAATTATTTAGTTTGATGCCCGACCAGGCGCGCTTCGAGTCCCTACGCTGGCTGGCCGCTTCGCTTTCAACGGCTATTGCTATTGTCGTTATGCAGTTGACGGGTACTACCCACCCGCCTGCTGGTGCGACTGCTTTGCTTCCGGCTACTAGCCAGGAGATTTGGCGGCTCTCTTGGTACTACTTGCCTGTAGTTCTACTATCTTCTGTTATGCTTATGTTGTGTGCGCTGCTGTTTAATAATTTGCATCGTCGGTATCCTGCATTTTGGATCGCGCCTGCTCCGCCGAAACCTGCTACGCCTCCTACTCCGGTACCGGCGCCTATTGATGTTTCCTTGGAAGAGGAGAAAGCAGCGAAGAGTCCTGTTTGATTTGAGAAGGTGGGAAGTTTGGGGAATAGAAAGACCTTGTAATAACCATTAGGAATGGTTACACGGTATATATCGCTATCCGTTTGGTTAGGGTTGGTGCAAGACGTATATAAAAACTTGGTTACGCTATTAATGTGTTGGAGAGTTTATAGGTAAAATAGTTTCATTATCACTCTATAGGGTCTAACGCGTCTACAATAATATTTATAACTCTAGTACTTTACCCTAGTAATACCTAGAGACAATCGCTTAAGAGTAGTGACTTAATAGTCCTCTAATTTTATACTACTATAAGTCTCCGATAGAGATAGTAGGAAAAGTTAGAGTGATATAGGGTCCTTGGATAGTAGGATAAAGCCTATTGAGTAGAGGCCGTGAAGCGAATATAAAACTAGTAGGTAGCATATAGGTAGGGTGGGATTCTACTATTCTTTAGTTTACCTTACAAGCTTTATCCTTCGACCCCATAACCCTATATAACTTTAACTTTTCCTACTATATACGTCCCAGTTGTCACTATCAATAGTAACTAGAGTCGTAACACGCACCTAGGGCTCTTTATTCGATTTTACGACTCCCGTTAAGTCTGATTATACTAGGGAAGATTAGTTTCGTCTCTATATCTACTATGTATGAGCGCATTTATTCAAACATCAAACAATCAACAATTTCTTTAGTATCATTTAGGGCTTGTTTTTCTCTACTTTTCTCCTTGCTATTTTTCTCTCGCTTGATTGACTACGACTACGTTTCTACAATTTGCACATCATTCGAAGCATAAGCTTCTTTTTTGGGGTTTGATTTAACCAATGGTATGAGCACCACCAAAATAGAGCAACAACAAATTGAAATGCGGGTATCGAAAAAAAGCCAACTAAGCCTCTTAAGCCGGTGCAAAAAAAAAAAAGACAACCAAAAAGTTGGCACTGCTTAAAAACAAATTGAAAGGCATACATCAAAAACCCCCGAAAGCACCCAAAAGTCTGTTAAATAGAGAACTCCCCAGAAGCACTGTAAACCTTTTTTTTTTCTTGTTTTATTTTAATTTTTCTTTTGTTTTTGTTCTTTTGTTTTGTTATGAATTCACTATGAGGATATCAGTGTAACCAAAAACGCAGGCACCATCAAAACACAGAGGACCCCCGGAGAAACAGCTTTCACGCTTACTCCTCGAACAAGCTGGACAGAGAATCGCTATCACTGTAGTTCACCATTTGCGGGAGTGGAGGGGAAGGGGTTAGGTCGCGAAAAGGAAGATACAAGTTGAGACACTGGTGGCAGTCGCAGTGAACATCCTTATAGTAAAGTCGGGACCACAGGCGTCGAAGAGACTCGCTTCGCTCGTCATTTTTTGAGGCCAGTTTCTGCTCCCATCGGCGCTGCTCTTCCTCAATCATGCAAGCATTCTCAACAGCGGCGGTATCAATGTTGCTCCAACCCCACAAAGTCAGACTTCCGAGCTGCATTGCAAGCATATCCGGGCGCTTCTGCATCACCAGATCTTGGATATCTATAACCCCCCTCTCATTGATGACAGTGGTCTGGCAGTGCGGGAAGGAATGAGCCATCTCATCTGCCAACACCATCAGGTTGATGCAGCGGTCTTCGAAACACCGGCCCTCGTTCCTCAACTTCCATCGGAGCTTAGCCCACATGGCAAGGGCATTTTTGATGCGAAACAAGAATGACTGTACGCTAACGACCACTCTGCCATTGGTATCTCCTTCAGAAAATTTCTCGAGCTCGGCAACCAAAGTATCGCGGGTCGACGGGAAGTTCCGGATTCCGGTGAACTGTAGTTCTCTCGGCATGATGGAGGAAGTGTTGAACAATGAAGATGAGTGGGGATGATGATGTGGATTCAGGTGAGGATCAACTATGGTAGTTGATGATGGAGGAAGATGCAGGTCCTATCAACGATGATGAAGGTTGATGAATGCTGATGAGCTTCTTTGTTAAGGAGGATGGGAGTTGACGGATAGAGGATAGATGATGAGGGTTGAAGATGAGGAAGAAGGGGAGTTCAAGTCGTCAGTGAGGGGCTATTTATACTCGAGCTGTTAAGCGTCGCCGGCATAGCAAATAAATATGATTAGCATGCTTCCATATGTATGTATAGAGAGGTAATTGTCTAAGATACACAATAGACCTATAGAGACCATCAGGTAAAGCTTTGACTTGGGCACGAGTCCTTCATTCGATGGTGGAGCTTTCAGTCTTTGCCTTGACAAACACCAAACATAGACTTGATAATTTAGGGCTATCAAACCTATAAGAATAATTCAATCATTGCAAATCCGTCGTCGACACCTAACCAATCATGTAGTAATTGGGGAGGAATTGGTTAGAGATCAGCAACTGTATATGATACCCTAACTATAGAGAAATACAAATTTAGATAAGTTTGCATATAAAAGGACAATAGCTTAAAAGATATAATAAATCTATAGAAACCATTGGCTAAAGGAATGGACCCTTTCACTTTAAGGGATAAGAGTCCTTTAGACCTGTCAATTTTTTACTTCTATAAAGACTATGTAGAGACTAAATTCCTTGGTGCTATCAAAACTATTGGGCGAATCTCTAGTTATAACTTGTCTGTAGGGGTTATACATTTCAATGCCTTTGTGTATATCTAAAAAGAACATCCAAAAACACGTTAGTGTGTTCTTATAGTTATAGCCCTAATATCTTGTTGAGTTATATATATCAGATTATTAAAGACTTACTGTCAACTAAAGAGAGGCCCTATAAACGGCCAACTAGTCTTCTCGGCAATCATAACAATATCATATAGAAATTAGGGAGGAATAGTGTACTGTAGATTATTCATACATCAATATGAACAAGTTGGTCGCCCAAAAGCTTTACTTAATGTACTTGAGGTAAACCACCAAAAAAAGTGGAGAGGCATGGATTTATATGGTATCAAAAGCTTCATTTTTATGCATTTGGGAACACCGAGCAATATGGAGATATATAGATTAGTATGGTGTAGACAGGGCTCATTTTTATACTTACGAACATCACAATATATAAAGATATATGGATTCATTTGTACGGGATGAAAAGCTTCATTCATATCGCGCCCTACCGCGCTAGCAGAACCGGGTACTTCGATTAATCAGGCATTTGTAATAGTAAATTGGGTATTTTCAGTCTCTACCAGAAGATGCCCTAGAAAAGCTCTATAGACTATGTACAAAGATATAGGGCTAAGGGACTAGTAGCAAACAATCGACTAGGCGCAGACAGCAAGCAAATAGACTAAAGGTACGATAGATCTATAGAGAGTATCGGCTAAAGGAATGAAATTTTTGGTTTTCGGATACGAGTCCTCCGGTTAGAGTCGGATCTTTCGTCCTTTGCATCGACAAACACTAGTAACAAACTGATTATTCTGGCTCAATCAAAACGAGGATAAGAATTTAATCATGATCAAACTGTCGTCGACGCCCAGTCCATCACGGAAAGATTACAGACGAATTAAATTAAAGGTTACCAACTATGTATGCTACCTTACCTTTAGAGACATATACCCGCCGATATGTTCTACACATTCACCAACTATTAAACTGCAAATATATTAAGATATTTAAATTTATTATATTAAGATGGAAGGAATATATAGACAGGTCTTGGTCCGTGTCCGAACTCCACTCTCCCACTTGTCTATGATCTCCACATTTCGTAAAATAGTAATAAGAGGCATCGTTTCAGATGAATTAATATTGATACTTCAGTATCTCGTATCCTGGCCTAGTGAAATGCGATTGGGTCGGGCCTTTGTGAATGTTGATCACATACGCAGCGGTATAGGTCCTATGCGACAAAATTCCCCTTTCAGGCATTATTGACTTGAATTAAGACTGGTAGAAAACTGAATCTTGAATTGCTATTATAGAGGCGTTAATAGCTATCCTGGTTCTGTCAGCTGATCATATCTAGTAGGCAAAAGAGAATACTATTTACACGATATAACTTTATACATCACCACTTTTTACGGTGGCTCGTAGCTTATAAGTATGAAAATAACTTTAGCTCTATACCTAAGAGCATGGAGCTACTAAGATCCCTAAAGCTGGTGATATATGGATATTAGAATAGTCGGTAGCTTATGACATTCTTTTCAGATGTTGACCACAACAAGAACGTAGACGGGCGTTGAAACATCAACTAGATAGTTGAACATTGGAACAGCCATGTATGGTAGAGCCTCTATAAACCAAAGTTGTAAGGTGAACTTATAATATTGTCATATGTTATACACTACTCTCTATCATCCGCTCTAAAGTACAATAGTAATGAGCTCGAATCGGCGGATAGTACATCGGACTACAGCTCATTTTTGTCATTGACATAAAATATCTCGGAGGCCACAGTATCATTCCAGATCGACGTCACTATTTTTTATTTTGTTGGATATGTAAATTTGAGTTTGATATCGCTATATTGATTTACCACGCATCATCAGACTGTTTGCCGTGATAAGTTCGATTTTTATTAGGCAAAAGAAGGCTGGAGCTTCCCACAGGCTCGGTCTGCTAATCTCTCTTTCATGAGCACCTCATATATATGCGATGCCCAACCACAGCATACCTTCCGAGTATCCTTCGGGTCGATAATTTCCTCGATTCCAAACGCATTCGCCGTACGTACCGGGTTCATCAGCCGTAGATACTCCTCTTCCAACTCTTGGTACTTTTCTTCCTTTTTTCCAACTTTCTCAGCTTCGCGCAGCTCATGCCGATGCCCGACCTCGATCCCGCCATCCAGAGGTAATGAACCCCATTGCCCAGACGGCCAAGCAACTTGCATAACTGGATCGCGAGAACCCAGCATAACACCACCCGCCACACCAAACACACGCCGTGTGACCACATTGAATACCGGCACGGTGGTACTAAAGTAAGCCTTAGCGAGCTCGACGCCCCAACGCATTGTCGCCGTGCGCTCAGCAACAGTTCCAATAGCATAACCCGCTTCAACTCACATGTCAGCTCTTTTCAAACGATCTGCGACAAAATAAAATTACTTACGGACGTCCAAAAACTGCAAAATAGGCAGATTCATCACATCACACAACTTCAACAGCCGTGATAACTTCTGGCTACCAGCCGCGTCCAGTGCACCTCCATTCACTTCACAATTGAGCGAGATAATCCCAACAGGACGACCACCCAGACGTGCAAGTCCGCCAATTGCAGTGCGACCCCATAATGCTCCGATTTCAAACCAGGAGTCTTTATCAACTACAGAGGTGATAATTGAACGAGCATTGTACATGCGTGCTTGTCGTCGAGGAATAATACTCCGTAGTGCAACATCCTCACGCTCCTCTGGGTCAGTGCAGGGGACTGTTGGGGGTGCATCGCTTCCACTGTTGGGGAGATAGCTCAGAACTACCCGCAGCTGTTCATAGCACTCTGCCTCATTGGCGGCGAGGTTATCAATTGTGCCGTTCATACAATGAACCATAGGTCCACCCAAGTCTTGGAAGCCGAGACCTTCTTCGAATGTTGCTCCCTCGACGACCTTCGGACCTGCATTGAACAGTGCTCCAATGTCAGCTGCCATCACGGAGAAGTGGCAGGATACCACTCTGGCGGCGCCAAGTCCGATCTGCATGATCAGTCAGTCCAGATTGTATCAAGCAATGTCGAATGGGACACAGAACGGTAAAAGTAATGTCCGAAACTCACCGCCGGTCCAACAACAGCCCCCAAATTCGGAATCCCCATATTCAACTGCTTAATAACATGCGGAAAAGACGCAACATGAGGAAGATAACTCCACCCCTCCTTCCGAATTGTCGTTACACTCCCACCCCCAGAACTCCCATCAACAAGCTTAACAACCGGCACACGCAGCGCTATAGCAAGCTTCTCTACATAAACCGTCTTGCCGGTACTTGCGCCATCCGCATGTCCAGATCGGATACTGAAATCATCAGCCGTGAGGAGGACTTTCCTACCGCGAAGCAGTCCGGCGCCTTGGATGTTATTGCTGGGCACAAAGGAGACGGGTTTCTCGCGTCTCGGCGCGGTCTTTTGCCATGTCACCGTGCCGGAAACAGATCCGATCTCTTGGAAGCTGTCTGGGTCTAGGAGTTTGTCGATGCGCTCGCGTACCCATAGCTTGCCTGCTTGCTTTTGGCGGGCGTAGCCTCGATTGGTGGAGTCTGGTTTTGCGGCTATTGCGCGGAGCGTTGCTAGTTGGTCTAGTACATCTGAGTGATCTGCTGGGAGACGATTTTCTGTGGACTTTGATTTTGACTTAGGTTTTCTTGGTTGGTTTGCTGGTGGGGATATATGGGATGAGACCTGGTGTAGGCGGTCGGTGGCTTGGTCTTTGCTTGTTCTAGTTGATGGGTTGTCGTCGTCTTTCGTCATGATGGATCAATTGATATGGGTTGGTTTATTTTCTTTGTGTAAAGTGTAGAATTGGAGATTGCTTACCTATGTAAGGAGTTGGTCTAGTTACTGTACTGAGGGGGTGGACAGACTGTCCGAGGGCCGAGGTCGCCCATGTCGACAGCTATAATATCTTGTCAAGTTGTGAATGTGTCTTGTAATTAAATATCTTGAAATCTCTTAATTGATCTCTATTTGATATATATATCGTAACTTATCTCATTTATCTAGTTTGCTAGGGGTTTGCACACAATTACCCCGGATTTTCTCCTTTCACCCCAATGTCTTCCCCGCACTCACGGCCCATCAAGCGATTGTTGGTCGCAAACAGGTATGAACTTCTGTACAATGTATTGTTATAACAAGCTCATGCGATATTTGGTAGAGGAGAGATTGCC